TGGGCTGGGACCCAGGGGAAGGGGTGAGCCCTCTGCAGTGCAGGGGTGGCTGCGTGGGCTGCTGCCAGGCTCGGGGGACTGCACCCACCTATGGGCTTATTGCCTGGCAAACGTTGGCTATTCCTCCTGCAATGCCCAGCTGGGGGAAAAGGGGCTGGTGCTCGGGGGGGGGGGGGGGCTCTGCTGCCAAGGAAGGTTTTGGGGGGTGCCAGCACAGCCCTGAATCTTCTCTGTGCTGCTGCGCTGCATCTCCTCCTGTTGGGATGCGAGTGCAGGAGCCTGCAAAGTGCTAGCAACTTCACAGGGCCCAAAAGGACTGTGCATCCTTCCTCTGATCCCACAGAAATTCCTGCTTAGAGGGTGCTGCAGAGCCAAACCCCCTTTGGAGCTCTGACCCTTCCCCTTTGCCCACTCAGGACTTTCTCTACTGCTGATGGTGACAGAGGCAGCATTTAATCCAGTTTGACCGGACGCAGCTGCCTGCTAGGAAAATGGGGCAGGCAGGGGTTAGAGTTCAGACCTGGGGCTTTAGCAGGTAAAAAGAAAAGCCAAAAATCCTTCTCTGCTAATCTCTCAGGCTGCACCGCGGAGCTGCACCTGGCGTTTTACCAACTGCAAAGCTCTGCAGGGGTCTGCTGGGGGGAGTGGGGTGGGTTTGGGAGTGGTGATGCAGCCTCATGGCTTTGTGTTGTGCCCCCCAGCATCTTATTAATGCTGTAGAGACACAGAAATACAGGCTCAGCTCTTGAACCCCTGCACTTGTATGATCTGGCTAGTGATATAATCTCTCTCCCCTGAGCAGGTTCAGATTCATTTTATTCCAGTAACACACGCCAGGGCTGCTGCTGCTGCTGCTGGGCAGTTACCCGAGGGCAGCTTTGTTTCCTGCAGTGACAACCTGCATCTTAACTCCTGATCCTTATGTGGTGTTAGACCCAGGAAAACTGGAGACCACCTGAGCCAAATCAAACTATCGCATCCCCTAAATCCACTTAACTCTCCCCAGAACCTTGAAATTCTCCAAGAAGGAGAGCTGGCCTCACAAATCAGTGCAGATGCAAATTTATGGTGTGTTCTGGGACAAATGCTTTTTTAATTCACAAAGCTCTTGCCCTGGGGGTTGGCTGGGGCAAGGTGAAGATGACCTTTCGGTGATTCAGTTGAAGCTGGGAATGAAATTGTGAGCCACGCAAAGGGGGAAATGTGAGGACAGGCTATGAAGAGGGGAGATAAGAGGCCACATCATGGCCAGGGCATGGCTGGAGGTGCAGCAGGTTGTGAATGGGGAGAGAGGATGTGGTTTTTCTACTTCCTTTGCTGATTGCTATGGAAAAAAAATATCTGAAAAATGGGCTTCCTGCAAGACAAAGATTGAGCTGAGGCTCTGGCAAGTCCTTTGCTTCCTACAGGCTTGCTGGTGGATATAGACAGTGTAAATATTTTTTTTTCAGCTGTTGTTGAGACTGTAGGAATTGGTTTCTTTGTGTTTCTCAGGTGCTTTCTTTACAGGACCCTCTGTGGCACCCCTGTGGGGAAACTGAGGTGGGGAGGAGCCCAAGTCAGGAGAAAATGCTGCATCTTGAGGCAAGGGCTGAGCTCTTTCTGCAGCGGCTGGGCTAGTGCTTGGGGGTCTTGGGTGGGAGTGCAAGGAGGAGATTTATTGCTCAGAAATGCCTTTGCTCATGGAAAGCAAAATAAACCATTGTTTTCATGAGCATTAGAGCAAAGCAATGGTCTTGGATCTGTGGCAAGAAGGGGATAGAGTTTCTAAGGGACTTTAGTGGTGAGCTGTAACTTTGCAGCCTGAAACAAACTGCGGGGGGTAAACCATGGTGCCAGGCATCCTGTGTCACAGGACTGGGGAAACTCAAACCCAGTGATGCCTCTCGGCTCTGCCCCTGCAAGCAATTAGTGTCCGGGGAGAGCTGAGGTGGCTTAATGAAATGAGATGGAGGTAAACTTAGATTCCATGAAATAAAATAGCTTGTTATGGCACAGAGACAGTCCTGGGTGAAGTCAGAAGAAGCACTGAAGTGGATTATAAATGGCACTGGTTAATCTTAAACTAACATCAACAGGAAGCCAGCAGCTTGGGTGGGAAATTCCAGAGCTTGCAAACAATATGTTTTTCGCCCATGTCAGAGTAAAAAGCTGGTATCTTATGAACACTTATAGGGAAGTTCTGACCTGGAAACACTTTTTTCTTTTGCATTAAAGCCCAGCATTATGTAAACAAACTGCAACAGAGCTGGAGGTTTTGCATGTGTGTGAAAGCTTTGAGAGCCTGTCAGATTCAGCTGATGTCTATTAGGTTCCTTGAATTAGTCTTTTTGGTTGAGCTGTGTCCTGATGCTCTTCAGTGCTCCCTGGCAAATATTTTGGCACCTTGGTAGCCGCTTATGGGGCTATGGGAGAGTGTCAAGAAGTGGGCTGCACAGGTCTGAGGTGCTGGGCTGGGGGGCTTAGCAGCACCCAGATGGGCTGCTGCCTCCTCTGCAAGGAGCCACTCCCTCCTTTCCTCTGCAAGCACCCATTTTTTGGTGGCCTCGTGGATTGGCTGGCGTGTGTAACTTGGCTCCCAACACAGGTGCTTTGGCTTTCACATGTGCTTTGTTGCAGTTGTTAAAGCAAGTCCCAGACTTCTCCTCCTTTCCCTGCCTTGAGGTAGTTTCCTTTTATTAAGAGCCTTTTCATCTCTAATATTAATAGAAAATGATGATTTCCTTATCTTTGTCTTACCTTTACCAACTGTGAAAGGCTTTTTTTTAGCTTTTGGACCTGATTTGGATTACTGGAAATATATATATTACATTTGTATCTCCTCCCAAAGAACTGGAGTGATAGTGGGACTGCTACACGTGTAGGCAGCACTTTGCTTCCTTGGGCTTCACCACATTGCTTCTCTCATCTGACTAACCAAGTGAATCTAACCAAAAGCCACCAGTTGGACTTGGTACCTTTGAAAGCTTTATTTTTCTTCTCAAATATCAGTTTGTGCTGGAAGTCAGGAACCTCCTGGTCCTGTGACCTAGGGGCTGTGTGAGGATGGGGCAGGGCAGGGAGCACAGCCCACGTGGCTCCAGGCTAGGGCCACCTTCCAAATTAAGTGGCTTAAAAGCAATTCCTTTCCTTCCACTGCGGTTCGGAGGAGGGAGAGAGGCCAGGGTGAGCTGAGGGGTTGCATGTGTGGAGATGCTGTGCATGGCCTGAGCTTGGTTAAACCCCCAGGGTCATTTTGCTGCCTGCCGGGGCAGACCTGTGCATGGCCTGTAAAGAAATGCTAAAACTGAGAAGCAGGAGGGGTTTTCCAGTAGTGCCTTCAATAATGTCTTTGCAATTAAAAAAAAAAAAAAAAAAAGTGTGAAGCTAAGTGGAGGGCAGTATCTCATTCTTGAGGGTGGTGGTGGCGGGGAATCCTGGATGAACATAGCTGCAGCGCTGTGCCAGAGGCTTCCCAGCAGCTGGAAAGCCAAGATTCCTGCAGTCCTGCACTGCTTAGTCAGGAGAGGGGACAGGCAAACACAGCCGGGGTGCTGGCTTGTGCTCTGCACTGGGCTTGACACCACTAGACGTGTGTTTTCCCATGGGGTGGCCCTTTTCCAGAGGGGAGGCTGCTCAGGCGTGTGGTTTATCTGTTTGCCCTGGCTGTGAGCTCTGGGGCAGGCAGGCCAAAGGAGATGGATGCTGGTGGAAATTACCCCTCCCCTGAGTGGGCTGGAGGATCTGTGCAGGCTGGGTTGTGCCGGGGTCATGGCATGGCATGGCAGCAAAGGCATTTTGCTGCACAGGCTTCCTGCTGCCTTTGCAACTCCTGAGCAGGAGAAATAGGATCTTTAATTACTCTGCAAATAGCTTTTTAGAGAGAAAGCTGTAGTTCATATTACATAGGATGCTGCAAGAGAGATTGCTGCTCCCATGGGTTTTTCTTCCAGAGCATCCCTGGGGGATCCCTCTGTACCTTGTCTGTTGGCAAACCCCTTTGTGCTGATCCCATTTATGACGATCCTCTCAGGAGGTCTCCAGATGGAAGTGGCTGATGTTGCCTCTGTGTGAAGGGCTTCTCTCTGCCTCTAGGCTTAAAAGAAAATAAAATACCCCTGCTTGGTCTGTTCAGGGTTTACTCTGTCTCTGGATTTTTGCTGTTATTTGGGTAACCACTGCAAAGGTACTGCAGGAACCAACTGGAGCTGGTTACTGCAAAGTAATGATGCTCCTCTGTTCCCCGGGACAGACCTGGGGGTCTGAGCTGCCAGGGCCACAGCAACACAAGCCTTGGGTCAGCTTTCATGCTTAAATAAACAGCAAAAACGAATGGGTTTACTGTGGTGAGAGTCACTTTGGCAGGCAGAGTCCTTTTTCTGTGCCTGCAGCTCTCCCGGCGTGCGTCCTGGTCAAAGCCACTGTCACTTCCCTGGCCACCCTCTGGCCAAGGTTTCAGCTGAGCTGTCAGCTATCCAAGGGAATTCCTGCTTTTCTAAGAAATCCACCTTTCCACGGTGGAGAGTCTTGGGCAGCTGTAATGCCCAACAGTCCTTGGGCTTGCCTTGCGTGGGGCTGCGATCCCCCAGTGTGGCTCCCCCAAGACCCCAGTTTATCACAACCCCCCCCCCCCCCCCCCAGTTTGTAATACTGCGTGAGGATGTAAACCCCATTTTGGTGATCCTGACTCATGCAAACCAATGCTCCTGACTCCGATGGGAAAAGCATTACTCACGTGAGCCTGTTTGCAGGATCAGGGCTCTAATTATGGGGTTTGCCCATCTTGTAGCGTGGGAACCAAAGCCATTAGCCCCTAAACCTCCAGATCATTCCCAATACATTAATGTTTCTAATTAGTTAAGCCTGATGCCTTTTTCCCTCTGTGATGACAGTGGCGCTAGTACTTACTCGTGTTCGCTCTGCGTGCCGGTACTTCATTATATAATGATACAGTATGTGTTGTAATACCTATTCCCAACTGACAGTGGGTTTTTTTGCATATGCCTCATCCAGAACTGATTAGGCAATGGAGAAGACAGGCTAGTGCAAATAAATGTTTAGGTTGCATCCTTCCTAATTAGCTGGGAAGCTGATGGTGCAGCGGGGAATTAGGGCCAGGTGAGGACCCAGAGCTGGTGGGTTGGCTGGAGACCATCACTGCGGGGCGGGCGGCGTGAAAACCTGTGGCCTGATTTTTGTGCTCCTTTAGGGGATGAGCTGCCCCTTTCCCTGGGCTGTGTTTTCATTCCCAGTCCCTTTTTCCCTTTCTTCCAGGGAAACCATCTCCACGGCAACCTCAAACCTCCAGGCTCTGCCTCGGAGCTGCTCGCCCATCCCCGGGACCCGGCGGGTAAGTGCCTGGTCCGGGCATCAGGCTGCCGCAGGCACCTCGGTGGAGTCTGGGGAGGCGAGGGCTGGCGTTGGGCTTGGCAGGGGTGTGGGTGTATAAACCTCATACCCCGGCTCCCCTCATCCTCAGGGCATGGCTTGTGCTTTGTCCAGACTTAAAAATGGGTGGCTGTGGCTGTCCTCGTGTGGGAAAAGCGCTGCCCTGGCTCTGGGTTCAAGGGGAACCCTTGTGCTGTTCCCCTGCAGAGGCCCTGCTTGGGGTCAGGGGTGTGTTGGTCTGGCGTGGCTGGTCATGCATCCATCACTAATGGTCTTGGTTAGACCATGACCAAGCCTGACACCAATTTTTCATGTTTCCCATCACACTGGAGTCCGAGGGAGAGCAGCAGGGCCAGGACTCTGCCTCCTCTCAGAGCTGCCTGGGCCTGGAGTGTGGTGCCCAGTAGTGACCGTGGAAGTGACCATGGCTGTGCTGGGCTGTCTGGGTTGTGGTAGCCCACGTGTACATCCCTGGTGCCACGCGGGAGGGTGGCGACTCGCCTTCCTTGTACGTGGCCAGAAATGGGGCCCCTAAGATGCAGGTTCTTGCTGGGGGCTCGGTGCTTCCTGGCACAGGGCAGCAGCAGGAAACAGATTTAATTTCTGGCATAATTGGGATTAATGTCGTGGGAAAACAACGGTGTGTACGGATGGGGGTGTGCTTTGCCTGGAGCTGGCTTCTGGAGGGGCTGAAACAGAGCTCCTGGGGGGCAGCGCTGCGTCACAGCTCTGCCCGTGGGTCTGACCCTCTGTCCCTCGGTCCCCGCAGGGCAGGATGAAGCTCCTGGGTGCTGTGTTGCTGGCTGCTGGCCTGCTCGGCCCTGCTGCCCGGGGGGAGCAGCCCCCCTGGCCGGACGAGCCTGTGCGGACCTGCTTCTTCCAGACGCTCAGCAGCGCGGACGGCGAGTTCTGCAGGTGAGTGATTCCCTCTTGTCTCCTTTCCCAACTGCACCAGCCCTGGGCGTCCAGTCACGCGCTGCCCTCGCGTGTCACCTCCTGGGACAGTTAATTCCAGTATCCCTTTTGCCAGGGCTATAAATATTGGTCGCTTTCTTCCTTTTGCCAGGAATCTGGGCCAGAGTGAAGCAGGGCAGTGCCTGCCGCACTGGCCAGCTCTTGTTTTACGCAAGCTGAGCTTGTAGTGTCTCTGGTCACCTCGAGCTGTTCCCTAGTCTGTTGTGCAGAGGCTTTTAAAGTGACTTACGGCATCAGAGGTGACAATTGTTTTGTTTTCCGCAGAAAGTTTCAAAGGAGGCTACTTTTTGGGGAAGGGAAGTGTTAGAACAGTTCATGCCGCAGAGATGCGAACGCTTACCGAGTGTAGGCACGGGAGGAGGAGGAGGAGGAAGGACGAGGGCTTCTCCTGGAGCTGCAAGCAGGCAGTTTGCTGCTCTGACAGATGCCCCCCCCCCAGCTGAACAGCCACCGAATGCCCCCCTTTATCAAATGTTTTGATACTGAAGGTCCTTGACTTAACCCCTTGTTGCCTGCAAGCTGCTGGAGGTGGGAGGCAGGGCTGGGCGAGCAGTGGCACACGTGTGCCCCTTGCCTTTGGGGGGGTTTTTAATATCCTGCATGACTGGGAGCTTCTGTATCAAAACCATCCTTTCTGCTACCTTTCAGTCAACCAAAATGCTCTTTAAATGCGAGTGACTTAAGCTTCTAGATTAAGGCAAGCGGAGACTTCACTTGGCCCCGGCTTCCTCCCACAGACCATGAGCTTTGAACCCTCTGACTCCTCTGTGCCAGTCCCGTGCTGCTGTGGGTGTTTGCTCAGCAGCCTCCCCGGGCTGCAGGATTTGAGGGTCATGTTGGTGGCAGCTAATCTTCAGGGTGGCCTTGAGACACGTTATCCACACGCTGCGGTGACCAGACAGCTCGCTCCAGCGGCCTCTTTCTCTGCTGGATAATGCAGAAGAGGAAAATATTTAATGCGGAAGTTGAAGCTGGAGGTATCTGCCCTGTTATTGTACTATTGGTACCCAAAATACAGAGATTTGTCCCTGCTTTCTTATCACAAGTGGGAGAATGGGGCTCAAACAGCTTGTCTGAGGCCAAGGGGGAGTGAGGATTGCTCTGCTCTCCATCTTCAAGCCTGAGATTAACCCATATAGGCCATGATTTTTCAAGACTATGGAAAAATACTGGCAGTAATTCAAGGTGTGCTGAGCCATAATGGATGTTTAAAGTCTTGCTGCTGCTTGGGAGAGGGAGCAGACCTCGTTGGTTATGTTACAGCATGGGAGGCTGCTTATCCTGGTGCAGAAAGTGCCCAGCACCTTTGGCAACAGGTTGGATCCCGCATCTCCTGCCCAGCACTGCAACCACAGCTCAAGCCCGGTTGGGAAGGGGCATCAATTCCCATCCCCTGCATGGCGTGGTCTTGCCCTACATCCTCTTCTCTCCCCCTTTTCTCCCCAGAGGGGATGTAGAAATTATCTACCCGGAGCTGGGCGACGTGGGCTGCATGTACATCCCCAAGTGCCACTGGTACCGGCGGCGGATCAGCAGGGAGTGGGGCAGCCCCCGCGTTCGGTACCCCCAGGCTGAGAAGGTGAGTCCCCAGTTGTGTCTGCTCCGTGCTGCTCTGTGTTAATTAAAAGTGTAGCTGGATGGCAGGAGAGGGATTTGGTGGGAAAGGATTGCTCGCACACGTGTGTGCTCGTACTATGAGCCTGGCTGTGACACCCTGGCTGGGAGCGGGCCCAGGCAGGGACACCCAGTGCCTGTGCTGGGGACAGTCTGGGGGTTGTTCACCCTGTGCCACGCATGACCGAGCACGACTGTTCCCCGGCCAAAGTGCTGTCAGCAGCTCGGGTTATGCTTGTTAAACTTTTGCCTGAAATCCAGGCGACTTTCTAAGCTTCATTTTTCCCTGTGCTTCCCTATTTCTTCATGATTTTGGTCTGAGGGTGTGGGTAAAGTGGAACTCCACTCTGTGGGTTGGTTTTTTTTTTTTTTTTGTTACCTTGTCATTTGCAGCGAAACAAAAAAAAAATCATTGCAAGCGTAAGGTTTTTTCTTTTTTTGCTATTGCTTGTCAACTTTTTAAAGCAAGCATAGGCTTTGGCTGGCTGTTTACACCCGGAGCTGGCGTCTGCCTGGAGAAACCAGATTAATGAATCAGCTCCCGGGCCGCGTAGGGGCTGTAGGATTTGTAAGGGGGGGTGGGGTGGGGGGGGCGGGTTAGGGGGTGGGGGGGGGCCCGATCCCTGCTCGGACCCCCCCCCCCCGGGGGGTGCTGTTCCCCGCCGCCGCCGCCAGGTGGCAGCATTGAACTTCCCGAGCCCCAGTGCCGCGGGGACTGGGAGCACTGGGAGCCGCTGGGCCCCCCTGGGGATTTGGGGGGGGGGGGGGGGGTGTTACCCTGGGTAGGAGAGGAGGAGGAGGAGTAAGGTGTTGTGTGGGTCTCTTCTGGGTGTTGGGGTGGCCACCCCGCGCTCCCAGTGTCCTGCTGGGACCTGCCCAGCTTGGGGACCACAGCCAGTCGGGTGGCATTGGCTTGTAGGGGAGACCCTGTCCCCCAAATCCCAAGTGCGCCCCCATGCCAGCACCCCGATAACGGTCGGGGGTGCTGCTCCCGTCGCTAGCTCCGGCCCTGGCAGCTGTGGACGCTTTGGCCGTAGCTAATCAAGGTTGAAACTCAGCTCTTGGCTTTACCTTGAAGTGTTAAGAATCCGTTTTTCTGACTGCTTCATTGCCGTCTGGAAAGTCTCTTCCCCCTGTTGATCACATGGTTTGAAGTATAACTTTCCCTTAAAGATGTCTGATTCTTCCAAAAAAATAATCTTCCCTGGCAGAGGATGCTGTACACAAAATCATCTATCACTTGTGCGTTGCTTTCCAGTAGTTTGAAATTTCCGAGGGATGTAGGCAGTTGCTTTTCTTTTTATTTTTGTCCTGGAAAGCAAAGCAGCAGGGAGAAAGGGACTTGGCTGTGGTGCTGCTGGTGGATGCTGATCTGACCAGTAAACGGTGCTGTGGGGAGGATTTGGGGGGGGGGGGGGGTGGGGGGGTAAGCAGAGCCAGACCCTTGCTGGGCTGTGCCAGGGGGGCTGCTGGCTTTGAACCTGAAAAAAAAAAGAGCAGGTGAGTGAACCTGGCTTGGGAGCCGGCTGCGAGCGTCACTCGTGCGCGTTTATTTAGGGACAGGATGCTGGCTGTGGCACTGGGGGGTGGCGGGTCCCCAAGGCAGCCCCGCTGCGGGGGGTCGGCAGCTCCCGCTGGCATCGGGGCCGGCTGGTGGCTCGTCTCCGCTGGCAGATTTGGCACCGTTCCCTTCCGAGACGACTCGGCACATCTTGCGCTGAGGCGGCATCTGAGGACACGGGGCCCCGCTGCTTCCCTTGGTTGGTGTTTATTCTCCCCCTCTGGCCCCACAGCCCCAGCTCCACGCAGCGGGGGGGCTCCCAGCTTTTGCAGGGTGCAAACTGGGGGGGGGGTTAACTTTGGGCAAGGGGCTGGATGGCCTTCAATTGGTTGCAGAGAGCTGGCTTTGAATTTCCTCAGGCTTTCTCTATAGGAATATATTTATTACTCCTGAACCTGTAAGGATGCTTTGGGATAACCTTTTTCCCCACAAAAAAATCACCCTGAAGTCGGTGAGAACAAGAGTTGCCTCATCCTATGCTGGGGCTGAGGCGTGCGCAGGCAATGGGGTTGCTTTTTATGGTTTACAATGGGATTTCTAAGGTCAGGACACTTGATTATTTTTTTTTTTTTTTTTTTTTTCCCAAGTGAGAATGGGAAGCCTCACTCTGCTAAAGTTATCTCCCTCTAGATGTGATGCTTCTCAGCTACGGCCCTGCCAAGGCTTGGTGATCTCGTGGATGGAGTGGTGAGGGATGGGCTGGGTAAAGGGCTGGCTACGCTTTTTCTGTCAAAATCAGCGGCAGAAAAACTCGGGGTTTGAGTATGAAAACTTGTGTAGGAAGTGTCTGCTTTCTGTGGAACACTTTGTCTCTTCAAGAAAAACAACCACCAAAAAAGCCAAATGCGGAGTGTTTGTTTTTATCTCCGGAAATATTTATCAGTTTTCTGAGGTGGGGGGGACGGGACATTTCCCATCCACGTTCCAGATATGGGTAACGGGTCTGGGGGCCACCTCGCACTCTGCCTGTGCCCAGGGTCTCTGCTCGCAGCCTTGATGCTCCTGGGTGAAGGAAATGTCAGTGTGTTTGTGGGTGAAGGGCCTTAAAGTGGGGCGGCATCTTGCAAAGCTGAGCTTTGCTAGGCCTGGGGGACTCGAATACATCGTCTTGTGTGTGTTGATAGGGTGTTTGACATCCCTTGATGCTTCTCCAGTTTAGACACTGGGCCGTGGCAGCTTGGCAGCCGGCTTTATCAAACATCCCTTTTCCTTCCCCAAAGACCCATCTTTGACTTCTTTAGCGCAATATGGGCGGCTCTTGTCTGGCTGCTATCTGAGCAGCACGCTCAGGAAAAGGAATAAGATGCGTCGCCAGACCCAGGAGACCGGTGATGGATGGTTTGGGGACGCTGGAAACACTTTGACTGCTGGGCACAGCTACCCCCAACCCACTGTGTGCTTGGTTTGGGCACGTGGGAAGCACCTGCCCCCCAGCCCTGTGCTTCTTCCCCCAAATCCCAGCAGAGGAGCTGCTGCCAGGCCCTTTCCCAGGCCAGGGAAGAAGCAGGGAGCAGTGGAGAACATCTGGATGGATGGGAAATGCGCCCTCCTTGTCCTGCCTTGATATTGCTTTGCTCAACCAAAAATAAATTGGAAAAGAAAATTGGACATTGCATCAATTTGGGGCAAGTTTATAAATTCTGCAGCTAAGCAATCCCAATAGAAAATGATAGATCGCCGGCGAGCACGCGGCCCCTGCCGTGATGTATAGTCGCATTAGCCGAAACGCCGTTACATGATTCTGTTTTATTACCACTGTTGGTGGCAGACAGAAAAACAGATTACGCTTGAGATCAAATCGATAGGAACTTTATTTACTGGCCTTTTAAAAACATATTTCTGCACTTTATAAAAACATACGGTAGATGCTATTGATAGAACTTGTCTGCTTGTTAAAAAGCAATTTACCTGCTGCGATGTTCTTGAGCTGCAGTTTACGGCACTACCTTTTACCTGCTCTTCCAGATTTGTTTTCATCGCGGGGTTTGACGACTTCCTTAGAGGTTTCTTTGGGTTGTTCTGTTGCTCCTTTAGGGTGTGGGGAAGGGGTAGGACTTGCTCTCTGGCTGAGGGCTCAGAAGTAAAGTGCTTTTTAGGGCTTGCTTTCTGGCTGAGGGGCCAGATAGCTCAGAAGTAAAGTGCTTTTCTCAGGGCTCCTACCCCACCCTGGACTTTTTTAAACTTAAATTGCTTTTGCAAGAACCCTCTCTTGTCTAAATGAGTCTGAGAAGACAACTTGTGCATCCACGAACTAGAACTTCTTCCTGCAGCTGTATGGCTCACCACTTTCCCTCTGCTGTTTTGAGAATTGTCCGTTTTCATAGTATCTTATTTAAAACCACTTCCATGGCAGAATGAGCTGGAGCCGAAAAGGCAGCTGGAAAAGCCCCCCCAGCCATGTGAACCAGGGGATGATGCCCTCATGGGTCGCATCAGGCTTAATGCAGCAGCGGCTCTGAGTGCTCTTTGTGCCTAAACCTGGGACCAGCACCCCAGGGTGCGGCTCTGGGGCCACGTCCTGCCATGGCACCGGGGATCACCGCCGTGCCCGGGGTGAAGGGCAGGAGAAGGAGCCTCTCCCAGGAGCTTGGGCCGTGCCTGGAGTCTGTGGTTAAGTCCACTCCCTGGTTAGAGCCCAGCTTTGGCCCCCCTTCTCCCCCTTTTGTGAATAACTTGGTGGCTGGGTTGGGGACAATCTTGATTTCTAAAGGTTTCTGTGCTCTAGGGTCTGGGGCCCATTATTTAGAAAATTACTTGTATGAGGAAATTCATTAGCCTTTAACAAAAGGAGGAGAAGGTCTGCTTAATATCCTAATTGGGATGTGCTCTAGTTGTGTCAGGCAGTGATTTGCAGCTGGCTGGAAGAGGGGGCTTTTGAGTGGCACTCAGGTTAAATTCAAGTCTCATTAAAGATGGTTTTAAGCAGAAGATTCCTGACAGTTTGTGTATCCTCGCTGGCTCGTGGAACCGTCTGGGGTTAAGGAGCCACCAGTGTGTTTTTCTCTCAATCCTGTCTGGGCTACTTAAAAAACAATGGCCCAACATTCCTTCCTGATGCTGTCAACCAGATATTATGGGGATTAGCCCAAGCCCCCGGTGCTGAACCCCTCCCTTTGCCCTGCTGGGGCTGATGCTGGTTTGGGTTCCCAGGGCCCGGGACTCTGCTGTGGCATACCAGCACCCCGACTTCAGAGGCTGCCAGCCCAGTGCTGGGACCAGCACCCCCGACTTCAGAGGCTGCCAGCCCGGCGGCTCCCTGGCACTGAGACCAGCCCAGCCTCGCAGAGGGGTTGGTGTGAGGCCTGCGAGCTACCAAAGTGCCTCTTTGAGGGGTTAAGTGGGGGGTAGAAAAGCAGAAAAAAAAAAAAAATATATATATATATATAAAAAAAAAATCTGTGTAC